CTAGTGTTTTTGCAGTATTTTGACACGCAAATGTATGACGTCACCATTTCAACCATCAATGAATGCATGGAACTAAAACAAAGCTTAATATAAAGGAAAAGCTGGAGAGGTGACGGAATTACCTACGATGTCGGAATATACCGCATTTACCCTATGTTCGAGTCTGCTGCTTTGCTTTTTCTTTCTGACAGAGAACAGGCTGGTGGGCGCATTTGTCGCCACAAGTCTTAACCCCAACTATAAAAAAAATGAGTTGAAATTTTCTAAGCATATTGAAGCTCAAGTTAATAAAGCTACTCAACAACTTAGACTGATCAGACGTCAGAAGCTCAGATGCTCAGGCTCTTACAGTCTTTCTTCTTACAAGTGAGTTACAACTTACAACAAAACGAGTATGGAGGTCGGAGTACATAGATGAAGAAGCAATGAAGCTGTTGTTAGTTGCTGTTGTGTGTCCAAACGTAGAGTTTGAAAATGCTGTTTGATCTCCAAAACTAGAAAAGGACAAACATTTTGTGAAGAGTTCTCAATTTTATCATGTTCATTGTTCAAAGACATGCAATACCTAAGCCTTCAGGGATAATTTTGGGATTGAAAGGCAAGCCTTATAAAGAAAAATTAAACCCGTCTGGTAAAGATTATGAAGCTTCCATGTTCCAAGCCTCTGTTTTTGGCATCTGTGTGGTGTGGTCACTGTGGTGTGGATCTCAGTGTCAATGTGGAATTCTAAAGGGATATTAAATTAACCAGTACACAAAGCATATTGGAAAGCAGGACCTGAAAGCTTGGAAAGGCCAGGAACTTTCCACTTTCAGTCCATTACATTATATACATTATACATATCCTATTACTTTCCAGCTGTGATTGTTTAATGGAATTGTAAGGTTATCTGCTTTCTAGCTGTGATTGGTTGATGGGGATACTTTCAAGCTGTGATTGGTTGATGGGGATGCTTTCAAGCTGTGATTGGTTGATGGGGATGCTTTCAAGCTGTGATTGGTTGATGGGGATGCTTTCAAGCTGTGATTGGTTGTGCCCATAAGCCCCGCCCCCAAATATAGTATATGTACTACAGTACTGGTTAACTAAATACTTAACTTAAACTTGATCTTTACAAACAAAAAACCTGGAAATTTTTCAAAGAGTACATTAAATAAAATAAAAATAGAAAATATCTATCAAAAAAGAGACATTCAAACAATTTTATAGCAAATCTGAGGTACTATACAATTGAAACAGTTTGTCCAATTTTGATCTTCCTTTTCATTTATAGTCACTCACCTGGCAGAGCACTGTATCTAGGGAAAGCATTCCACCTTGAGTGGAAAGCTTTTTTATAAGTGAACCTCCATTTCTAGAATTCCACCCTGCTCAGTGAAGACATAAGAAAGCTGAACTGAAAGACGGAAATCCTTGTGGGTCACCGTCAACCTTATAAAGTTCAATCATATTATATATATATATATATATTGGTGTAGTTAGGCAGAAGATTTTCTCTTATGCAAGTTTGATTGAAGACCAGAGCATGCTTTTTATTAACAATCTTCTTGTTCGTTTTTTCAATGAGTCGAACTAAATTTCTTGCTGGCGTCGGGAGATCGAAAAGCCGTGAACCGTGAAGTTTCTGAAGTATACCATAAAAGGGGGTTACTTTGACTCATGGGGGTAACTTTGACCACTTACACTTTTAGTTTTTTTAACAAAAACTCCCAAAACTCAAAAACTATTTGACATAGAAAAATTTTGTCAATGGGCATTTAAGGCCTAATACTAATAGCTAATACTGAGGCTAGGTAACACAATAGAATGATTTAAAAAGTTTGCTTATCTAATAGGTTAAAAAAATGAAAAATGTGACCCATGTGAAAGAGCTATTATTTAAAGCCTGTCATAGAACCCCCTCCAATTTTTTTTATTTCTTGGTAAAATAACTCCAGGTTTTGGTGCATTGTAGTATAACTCTTCTAGTTACATATGCAAATGACAAATTTGGGGGAAGTGTCATAGTTTGCAAATTAGGGGCACCACCGTCCAATGGGGGAACTCTGACCACCTAATGGCAGCCCTGACGGGGTAATATTGACCGGCTTGGAAATTAAGTTAAAATTGCCATAGGTACCTATATAACATATTTTATGTTTGATACATGTATGACGGGATGCTTATTTTGTGGTAAATTTTTTTTGTATAACTGTACGTTCTATTATTCCTGTGCTAGATTAGTTACCATCAACCAGGGCTACATGGGACGATTTCGAACGTTTTTCATTCATAACTTCTTATCATGAAACATTTCATAAACAAGTTTAGCCAGTCTGTTTAGGCTCATTTCAAAGATCTTTGCAAGGGCTATCACATGGCTTCTCCAAAAAATTACATATGCTAATTGTAAGGTGCCAGAAAAAAAAGAGTGTTCCGAGTAGCACGGTGCAATTACAGATCAATTTTAAATTACCTTGGTAATTTGAGTTTTGTGAACGCCGAACTTAAATTAGAGGAGCGGCTCGCAGCCTCCGTCAGACAACCTCCTACGCTGACAGTCTAGATAACACTGCCTGCGGCAGTGCAGCTGTCAGCTGCGCAATGAAGATTGCGCTCACAGCAGTGTTCGTATAAGCGGTATATCAATGCAAAATAGTCTTAGAGCACCAACAGTCTTAACTTACTCACGGAACGCAAAATGACTCTAATCTTCAAGATCATTTATAAATTAATAAAAGCAACATTCTTCCTTAAACAGACACTGGTATGCACAGAAAAACTTTCGCTAATAATAATTATGACCCCAGTTACACTTATTTCTTCGTAAAATTGACCGCTTTTTGCTTTTAATTTGTAAATGTTTTGTTGACAGGTACAATGGCGAGCTGTATTGCACTTCACGATTGTTTATACAAGTTTTAAACTGAAATACTCAGTAAAATTAAAAAATACTTGAAGAAAAGCCATTGTCTATTATTAAAATTCATAAGAAATTATTTAAACATTACCTATGGCACGTTTCAAATTATAAAAATAGAAAAAGCCACTCTAATGACACTTCAATGGTAGAAGATTATTGACACCACTTAAAGCAAGTAAGAGGATGCAACTCGACAATCGAGTTCTCTTAAAAAGAAATTGAAAGCGATTTTTCATGTGAGAATTACATTGTTCCATTACATTTTTAAATAATCTCCTTAGATTTTTTATATAATGATAGTAATTAATTAATGACTACTTCTCAATACTTATTTAGATATCAATAAATAGCTTTGTTTTTAATTGGCTTCTCATCTGTAAGGGGCTAAAAATTAACTTTCAACGAGCTGAATGAAAGCAAACGATAAAAAAATTATGACAACGCACGAAAAATGATAACATCAATACATAATTTAGTTGTTAATTATCTCCTTGTTGTAATTTGACAAACTCATGCATGCGCAGATGGTAAAAAGTAGCATTAATTTGCTAAATAATATCGAAGGGAACTACTTCGAAGTTCGAATAATATCGAAAAAACTACCCTTCATTTTATTAGGTCAAGATTGGTTTCGATTTTAAAAAAGTATATGTGGAACATTTTCAGTGGAAATTCGTCTCAGAACTGTTGATTCGGTCTACTAAAATTTACCAGAATTTTCTCAACATCGCTTTTCGAAGTTCTTCAAACGAACCTTAAGTCAAGGATATAATTGTTGTGATAAAATTATTAAACCAGTTATTCACCACCTCACCCCCCCTTCTTCTTTTTCTTCATTCATTTTATACTTTTTTCCTTTATAATACACACATCTCCCAACAATGTCTCTCATTCGCTTTAGATTACAAAGTTATCTAAAGCAAAATTTATCTTTTATTTACACTCCACCAAAAAAAGTCAATGACCAGCAACGCCTCAAGGAAACTTGGCCTCTTCTTCCTCACTTGACGCAATACGGGGGGAGGGGTGAAACACACTAACCGAACCTGTACCTGACTCGACCTAACCCCAGTGTGGTGGGCATAGGCAATCACTTTCNTTTCTTGGCAATAATTATTGACCGATTTCTGCTTTCAGTGCACCATTCTGAAAAAAATTAAATTAGGATCAGTTTGTTAATGAAAAACCTAGAAACCTAGCAGGAAGCAAAAAACCTAGATCTACCTAGGTTTTTTTTGCTTTGGAGCGCCACAGTGTGCCTGCTGGAGTGCTGGGGGTGGCACTGGGGCTAAATGCCCAAGGATTTCCTAAAAAAACACTATGCCGAGTAGCTCCGTCAAACGGGGCTACTCGGGACACCTCAAATAAAACTTCATTTTAAAACATTTGAAGCAATCACAGTGTACTCTTCCATTACTAACAGTACTCTGAAGTCCTCCTCTTTCATTGTAGATGATGTAGAGGTAGAGTAAATGACATTTCTGTGATTTTTACTTGTTTTTCCTTTATTGATATGATATTACCATATAGGTACATTAATTACTGTATTATTGATGCAATATTACCGTATTATTGATGCGATATTACTGTATCCATGAACATGCCATTGAGCATTTACAACAACCTTGTCCACTGCAAGCTTCATATCAGCAGCCTTATAGCATTTTTTCTGTATCTATAAGCTTACAGGATGGTTTGTAATTTCACACCATTTTAATTGGGTTAAGTGAATTTACCATAAAAAAAATTGTGAAAAACATACCTGAAACAGAAAGGGATGTTTTAGTGACAACCATCATATGTTTTGGAGAAATAAATCATAGTTTAGGTCAATTTCTTTTCATTCTATGATGCCTGGTGCACAATTCTACATATGACATTCTATGCACAATTTTGTGATGACCGATGATGCACTAATTTTTCGATAAGTGAAATTTTCTTTGCTGAGCGAGGTTAAATTTAATCAATATTCTTTGATTTTAATTGATTTTTTGTAACTGGAGCCTTTGCTAACTGAGATTCTACTGTAAATGCGTTTTTTGGGGGTGTCCCAATTAGCCCCGCCATACGGAAATGGCCGCCATTTTTTTTATTGAGGTATGTAAATTTCTCAATTCCTCTGCAAATAAAGTTTTCATGCTGACACTTGTCTGCCACTTTTTTCTAAGCGAAATTTTTTAATATGGCAAATATTTTTTTTACTACAGACCTTAGCAGAAGTAACTTTTCAAAATATCGTTTTTCATCATTTTTTTCAGGAATTTTTCAAAGCTAGTATATGTAGTATTTTTGAACTTCCTTTATACTACCTACATAGATAGGTAAAATGTTTATGTTTAGGCCACTATATTTAGTTTTACAATATTTCAATTAGTTTTGCTACTAAAACAGTTTTACACCGTGTCGGACTGTCCTGAGTTACCCCGCCCGTCCCAAGGTTGACGGTATTCAATTAAGTCTTTGCCGCAGAATGATGCACTCTTTAACACTGACTGACACTTCATTTATAACATCAATTCATTAAATTAAACCCAAAAACCAAAGTCCGTTCTAGTGCACAACGGACAAAGCAATAGATGTCCATAGACAATATGAGCTTGAGCATTACTATTTGGTAGCCTATACCTACTGAAATTTAAAACAAATATTTTAAAGTTAATTTTTGGCATTCTAATGCGATGAGTGTTTTAACTTAATCAAGAAATGTTTAATTTTGATTTGGCTTGGTGTTTTATACTGTGGCATGGGCAGATGATTTATAGGTCAATTTAAATTCAGTCGCATTAAATTTATTTAGATTTGTTTCGTTGTAAGATTCTGTCCCTAAGGGATGTAGTGGCTTTAACAGTTGACTTTCTAAAGAGTACAGCCAGCAGTAAAAATATCAAAACAATTATCCAAGTCATGAACTATGAGGATGTATCTTATACACATTTGGTTAAATAAGGGCTCTCAATAATTCATGTTTTGTATAATATTAGTAAAACAATGATCTAGGAAATTATGCCAAGCTCATTGCATAAAAGTTTGATATATAATTTATTCATTATTGAACTAAAGAAAAATATGCAAGAAAAATATCTAACAACATACCAGGGGGTCTCCTTTAAAAATGAGACTGGGGAACCACAACAACAACAACAACAACATGCCAAAAAATAATGATAAAATAATGCATAAAACCAAACCAATAGTATACACTACGTATGCATTGTTATACATATGTGACAAAAGAATGTCAATAAAAAATACTGGTTTTGAATGTCAATACATTCAAAACCAGTTTGATTGTCTATACTTGTAAACAAACATGATTGCTAGCTCTCCCCATGCAGTCACATGTGAGGGTTGTATTTGAACTGTAAGTGCATTGCTAATTTTTCAATTTGATCTTGAACCTTGCCTTAAAGTGGAGTGTGAAGCAATACCATTTAAATTTTAAAGTGAAGTGAGTGACTGTGTGTTTTCTCAGTTGGTCAAGTTGATAAAACTGGTAGGTAAGGATGGTGGTCCTGTATTCATTACTTGTTATTCATGGCTGTACTGCAACTTAAAAGTACCGTAATGTATTTCAGTTGTTAAAATAAATTTTTCTACATGGAAGTCTATATTTTGGCTTTATGGTATTTGACAATGTCTGATGTTGGATGGTCCACCACCACCATCAGACATTGTCACCTGCACCTGCTCAGCTGTCAGGCTGCAAGCTATCAGCTGAGCCAGCCATGATGCTGAGTGCGCTCCAATTCGGGCGCAGAGGCGCTACAAAATTCCATAAGTGGATGGGAATTAAGAATGCATCTAGAATGGCACCATGACTATGCGAGCTCCAACAAAACGTTTTGATTCAACTCATTATGCAGAATACCCTATTTTGGCGGGAGCATGGTACTAAGTTTCATGGAAGTATGACATGTTATGATGTTTGTGAACCCTGATTTCATCAATCAAACAAAAATACATGACATTAGAGCCACAAGATTTCATAACTACTAAAATTATATAATATTAGAGCCACAATATTTCAGAAAAAGAAACTTTTCCCAACTAGATTCCATGAATATTAATAAATATAGCATTTCTTAGCCTAGGTGCCTCAATTATGAAATACATACAATTTTTTTCTCCATCAAGATCATCTAGAATACCTGCAAATTTAGCTTGATATTAAGGGGACCTTATCAGTCAAAATCAACGGGTTTGGCTTTTCCGGTTTTTAGTCTCGTCTTAAAGCTGACATTCTGAGCTATCCAACGGTACCAAAACCATATCTGCATGTTGATTTATGCATTCAGGACAGATTCCGCAAGGGAGGGGGTTGGGGGAGTTCTTTCACATGTAACATAGGGAATAATTCCCGTAGTGCACTATAAATAGCTAGTCTACAGACACACAGATCCAGTAACCTTGCTGCAGTCGTACGGGGCGGGTCTCGCGCCGTCGCTCGCACCATCCTTAACAGAACTTGAGCTCCTGTAACGTCAAGTCTTGCATCCTTGCCATCTTGAATGCCGATTTCAAGGCGCCCGGGACTTTGTTGCGCTGTCCTGAACATTCACACTTTTTGTCATGGAAAACTTTATAACTCCTAGAGCCTTGAAGCTACAGCGATGAGAGATACACCATTTGAATCGCAATTAAAATATCTAGAGATTGTCAGGCCACTTTTTTAGATTTCATTATAGTTTTGAAAATATTTTGAAAAAGGGGGATAAATATGGGAAAATTTCAAAAAATTCAATATTTTTCAGAAAAATTGTCATGAAAAGAGAACCAAGAAAAGAATTGAAAAAGTGGCCCAAGAATCACTAGATAATCACTTTATGCATCGAATGATACGTGTCTCAATGTTGTAGCATGTGATTTGCAACAGTTGAAACTTTTTTTGAGTGCCCCCCTTTTTGGCCGTTTTCTATGAATTTCATGTTTTCTTTCAATTTTTTCGAAAATTTCACATAAACAAAATAGTCTTAGAATTCTGTTTTACATATGTGGACCAAGTTTGGAGACGATCCTTCCATAAATATAGAAAATAGATTTTGACCGATAAGGTCCCCTTAAAAATACATCGTCAATCAGAAACATGGAGCCAGTAATTATTCAGTGCCAATTTATTAGTAATTAGGACCCAAAAGTTGTAGTATAAAAAATGTATGTTCTTGTATTTGGTAAATGTGATTAGGTTTTGTTACTTAGTAGCAAATTAACTGTTTCACCCCCTTGCACTCCTTTTTATTCACCTCCCACTACAGTGTTTTTCAGTTGAAAATTATTTACTTGATAATTTTTGGCAAATAGGTTATTTAGAGATAAATTATTTGTATAACTCCAAGCATGACTCGACATTCTCGCAACTGCACTGCCAGTTCTGTTTACTCATACCATGAGAAGAAAAGAGATGCTGATGCCTCAGGGTATGGGTCATTAGCTGCTAGGTATGGCAAGGATGGCATCAAGGACTTTGACTGCTGTTGTCTATGTCTCCACCCCTGCAAAGATCCTCTTGTATCCTCTGAGGGCTACTTATTTGATAGAGAAGCTGTTCTTGAGTACATCATCAGCAAGAAGAATGAAATTAGAAAAAAGCTAAAAGAGTATGAGAAGCAGTGCAAGAAGGACCAGGTAATAATATTGTGTCTTCACCATTGGATATTGTGGAAATGCACATTAATAACTCCTATGCATTTCACAGATGTGGCTTGAAGAATATATGATTTAAAAGTTATGTGTTAAATATTTATCTGAAAATTATTTGTAAAATTTTCTAGTATTATTAAAATTGCATTGAGCTCCTATGGCTTGCACTCCTTTGTTATTGCCTCAAAGCAAAAGTGGATGGCAATTAATTCCTATTTAGGTCCACTACATAAAGACTAATTTATATTGATTGCATATGTTTGTCTGCATTCTATAGCCACTTGCTGTTTTTGCAAACTGCTTTTTGATAGTACTGTAGGACACTTAGTAGTCTCCTCCTATTGCAAACCCCTAATTCATGAAGTGCAAATTGCAATTTTGTATATTACCTCATGTTTTCTAAATTATGAATCATTTTCTGTAAAATCCCATTTGGGATAAGATCTGGTATAGCTATGACCCAGACTACTTCGTGCATACTAACTTCACTCTCGGCTCAGGTCATCATTGCTTTAGCAACAGATTTTCTCTTTATAACTTGAACCACTGATGGGGTGACTTGGACCATTTTGACATTTAAGAAAAGAAAAACCTGTACTCAAAAAGTTCTTGCCTTACAAAAATTGTGTTGAGGGCTCTTGAAGTACCATGAGAAAATGTACATATGCAATAATGATAAATATTTTATATTTACTATGTGAATATTTGTATCACAAAAAGGTAATAGCTAAAAATGGTCCAAGTCACCCTGTTATATGGTTTTGTTCAAGTATCTTTAATTAATATGTGAAGTTTCAAGAAGTCAAAGGTTGAATGCCCTGAGTTGTTTTTTGTGCTGTAAAATTTGTCTGGTTTCTTTCTGTGGTAATTGCATTTATGAGGACTCTTATGATAAATTCATAAATATAACCCTACAAAACATTTAATGAAATAGGGGTTTATAGAAGAGTGGAGACTATATTGACATTCAATTGCTATAAAACCAATCTATGAAAACCCTCATGTGCACCAAACATATTTCCTGAGGGGAGCTTCCCTTTGAAACATTTTCAGTATTGACAAACACACCAATGTTATGTTGTAGACAATATCCCTAGTAGAGCTTGCTACCTAAACTAATCTATGAACATGTGTAGGCTGAACTGCACGAGTTGGGTGCTGCAGAGGAGCGTAGCAGACTTCAGAAGTTTCTGCAGAGCCAGGACCATCCTGCCAGCAGCAGCAGTGCCATCTCATCAGCAGCTGGCAGCAGCAGTGGCAGTGCTACCAAAGATGCAGGTAAGAATGTCAGTTAACATGTGTGCACATACTTGTGTTTCAGCAGCAATCAATGAATGATTCTACAATCAATGCTACGGTATACTTATTTGTTTATTATTTCATTGCATCAAAAGCCTCACTACGTGCCAGCCATTAAGACACTCCTCTATTGTTAAGTCACAAATGCAAGTAAGCATTTTGATATGGTCTTAAGTTAGATCAATTAATCATTTAATTACTTATTATTTGTTTGTCAATGGTTGTCAAGCATCAGCCCTGAGGTGTATCAGAGATTCCACAGGCACATCACTTGCTGCAGGTTTAAAGTAGCGGAGAACTGAGCAACTTGTAGGGTTTTCATTTGCCCACCTGTTTTAAGTAAAATTGTTTTTATTATCTGCTTAATTAATGATTCTTTATATTTTATTATTATGATTCTTTATCCTTCTATTAGTTGCTTAAAATTATTACCTAAATGTCATGCGAGTTATATTTTATTGTTGTAGCATCTGTTATATGTTATATTGTTCATTTGGCAGACTGCCCATCCATCAGTAACATGAAGGGAGATCTGGCCAAAAAACTGCCCAGCTACTGGATTCCTTCCCTCACCCCCGACAACAAACAGACACGGATACCTAAACCTGTTAGTCTTAAAACTCTTTTTTCCAATTTTCAGATTTGATTACTTTGGAAATTTTTACTTCAAATTTAAATGTATGTATCCATTCATATATAAATATGAAAATGCAGTAATGAGAAACTGTTACCAGTAGAAAAGTTATGAAATTAGATGTAACATATATTTCTTCAATTACACGACCTGTCCTAAACTTGATTGTTTTTTTTATTCCCTTGTCTCTGATTCTCCAATAAAAATATTCAATTTTATGATCTTCATGTAATTGTATTCATTTCCAACAATTTTTCACTCTATTTCATTACATTTATTCATACGGTAGTAGCATCTTGGATCATAATTTTGATACAAGACAATCTTGCACCATTCTATAGAATATTGAATGTTGAAATTTTGTGTGCAGGTTGACAAGGTTTTATGCCCAATGAGCAACAAGCCTCTGAAGATGAAAGATCTGGTGCCTGTTAAATTCACCCGCATCGACCCTAACGCCTCGTTCTCTTCACTGGAGGGCCACAAGGTATCTCATCTTGCTGCTAATTGTTTCGAAATGTGTTAATCAAACAAGAATACCCATCATTAAATTGATGAATCTTGGTCTCCTTGTCAGAATGAAATCATTCTTTGTTTAGCAACTTTTTATTTTTCACAATAAAATGATGTATGTCAAACCAAAGATGACATGACGTCCTAATTCTTGGCCTCATTGACCTTTCTCATTCGCTATTCTATTAACTCCTAATTTGGACTGAGGTTTGCAATTCCTTCTGAGTAAATTATTTTTCTTCAGAACGTGAGCATGTCCTTATAAGGTCTCAAAAACGGAATAATAATCAAGGAATTGCAATCATGGCAACATTTGAGGAAGAACATTTTTATTGCTACATGTTAGGTTAGGTAGCAAGGTGGGCAAGTTTGAGCTGTACTACTGATGTAGCACCTACTACGCTGTACTACTGATGTAGCACCTACTACGCTGTACTACTGATGTAGCACCTACTACGCTGTACTACTACTGATGTAAAGTGTGCCATGACATTGAAGCAACTCCACCCCTGCAGGAGCGTTACAAGTGTCCCGTGACGGGTGACGTGCTGCGTAACGCTGTGCCGTGCGCCGTGCTGCGCCCCACGGGTGACGTCGTCACCATGGAGGCCGTGGCCGTCATCAGACGGGACATGAAGCACCCGTTGACGGGCCACACCCTGACGGAGCGAGACATCATCCCTCTGCAGCGGGTCTGTCGTCTCGTGGTTGTCTGCATGTCTCCTGGACATGTTTGTTGTCTGCATGTCTCCAGTACATGTTTGTTGTCTGCATGTCTCCAGTACATGTTTGTTGTCTGCATGTTTCCAGTACATGTTTGTTGTCTGCATGTCTCCTGAACATGTTTGTTGTCTGCATGTCTCCTGGACATGTTTGTTGTCTGCATGTCTCCTGGACATGTTTGTTGTCTGCATGTCTCCAGTACATGTTTGTTGTCTGCATGTCTCTGGTACATGTTTGTTGTCTGCATGTCTCCAGTACATGTTTGTTGTCTGCATGTCTCTGGTACATGTTTGTTGTTTGCNCTTGTTTATTGTCTGCCTGTCTTCTTGACTTGTTTATTGTCTGCCTGTCTTCTTGACTTGTTTATTGTCTGCCTGTCTCTTGACTTGTTTATTGTCTGCCTGCATTCTAAACTTGTTTATTGTCTGCCTGTCTTCTTGACTTGTTTATTGTCTGCCTGTCTTCTTGACTTGTTTATTGTCTGCCTGTCTCTTGACTTGTTTATTGTCTGCCTGTCTTCTTGACTTGTTTTTGAAGCTTCCAGTATATTTTATTTCTTCGCATCACTTTATGTTGTTCTTTATTTTTGCTTCTTTCTTTCACATGCTCTTGTATTTATTTATTTGTATATTCACGCGTCCTTTTTGGTTCTTTTCGAGTGTTCATTTTACATCATTTATATTTTCGTAAGATACAATACCGTACATACGCACGGAGATTTCACTCAAGAGGAAATCTCTGCTCTTTAACCTGTACATTGTCAAACGTCTTGAACTTTACATTGTTGCAGCACGACTTGCGATACGTAAAGTAAATTGTATTGCATTGCATTTCATAAATGCCATATTACTTTACTTGGCTGTGATAAAGTGAATATTTCAAGATGCTTAGAGTATTATAATAAATGGACATCCTCTGAACATACTCATGGGTTACACACAGGGCGGCACGGGCTTCGCTGCCGCCAACGAGACGCTGGCGGGCAAGAAAGCGCGACCTGTGATGCAGGCTTAACCTGGACCCTGGACCTGTGATGCAGGCTTAACCTGGACCCTGGACCTGTGATGCAGGCTTAACCTGGACCCTGGACCTGTGATGCAGGCTTAACCTGGACTCTGGTTCAACCCGAACACTAAGGAGAAGTGTCCTGAAATTCGATCGTCCCAAACCATAATGCAATTTCCCAAAAATTACGAGGTTCCACAAAGTAATTCTATTAAGTTCATCAAGTAAATCTAGGTTAAGAGATCAGCGTTTCATTCTCAAGTTGTCTACCTATCTTTTGCGCCATTTTGAGGAGAGCTACAATTAATTTTAATCGATTTGAAGCAGTGTTTAATTTTACGTTCAATTCTAATTATGCAGAGGCGATCATAAAGAGATCTTGCCATGTAAAGACGAAATGTTCATGTCCAAGGAGCAGTCAAACAATTCCATCCGACAACATATTTATTAACGTTAACCCAATGAACCTGTAAACAATTTCTAAATTTTGATTCCATATACACTGTTTAATAGATTTCTTAGTTCATATTTGGTCAGCATTATTGAGATTGCGAGTTTCATATTTTTGGTATATGTTCAAACACTAATTGAGATTCAAGCATCAAATACACGGGGGTGTTAGTTGTACAAATAGAGGTATGTAAGTAATGACGTCGATGCGGAGTTTATGCCAAATGATATTTATACACACAAGACAAGCTCAAGTGGACAGACCTGTCAACATAGCTATCAACATGCCAATAGATTTGTCAAACTGCCGCGCGGTTAGTTACGAGTTGGTGTTTGATTTTGAAGTTAGATATACGCTATTTTTATGAAGGAACACTACACATATCTCGGTGGCAATTAGTAACCATAATACTAAATTGCGTACAGAATAATAGAAAGTTAGTCTGACAATAAAAAGCGTTGTATTTATGCTCCAAGAAAGTTGTGACGTGAACTCGTGAACTCACCCAAATTAAAACCATTTTCTAGTAATGCAGAACTTTCATCATTTAATGAAATCAATTAAAATTTTAGTGAGACTTCGAACGTACTCGAGTTCAAGGATTAGCATAAAAATGTCGCTGATGCAATAGTCCCAAAACTGCGGGCAATTCTTATCAAGTATAGCAATGAAAGCAGTATATAGTGAAGCGTAAATAACAACATTTAAGACGAGAGCGACATACTTATTATTTTCATCATCTTAAATTTGTTCACAAGGTAGAAAAGTTTTGGAACGACTGCACTGTTGAAACAAAGAGCCTTCAGCAGAGTAGAGCTACCGTCTTGCTGGCGAGAAAACATTGCACTTGGCTTTAATTTATTCAGGTTTTTAAAGTTTAACACCGACCAAGCCTTGTGTGTCAGATTTGTTCTTCATACGGTGAAGGCACTACGTATTTACCACATAAAAGAGGTATATATTGGCATGCGTAACTGATGACACCAACATGCCTTAAAATAACGCGCGCCCAAGGATGCGTGCAGTATGTTGACGTCGCACGATGGGAAACAAGAAGCGATATAGACCATAAATTCACTGACCTTCAATCATGAGCGATTTTTTAATATGAGCACATCTTACGAATTTAAAGAGCGTTGTTAGTCAAATACACACGAAACTGGCTTAATATAAGAACAGATCGGATGATGCAAGGAGTTATGGACGAATCTATACGCGCGTTAGTTAGTGCATAAAGTGTGACGCACTTTAAATACTCCCAAAATGAATGGAATTAATAAAGGATGGAAATGCAATAAAACATCGTGCAATAAGATTGCGCGAGCAAACTTGAGACTTCATAAAATGTACAAATGAATGTATGGAACGTACGCATGACAGTACGAAGGCACATCTACACGAAAAATACTATAAGAGAGTCACAAACGCAAGTGAAAGCTTCCTCTAATTCACTCGTCAAAAAGAGAACATGCACGTCCCGATCACCCTTCCAAATAATCCAGCATCCAAGTTTTCAATCCTCATATTGACCAATTTATAACGTTAACTCGGGTTCTGTTTAAATGGCCGAGTTGCGAGTATAGTTTCTATCAGAATATTTTTGGCTATCATTCGCTGCGAAGCTTGAGTTAGTGAAGCAAGGGTCATTAAACCATTTATGATAAAAGGACGAAAATAATAATAATCAAGTTAAGAAGAAGTTAGTAAATAATTAAATGAGTGCGAGTACAATAAATGCTTAATGAATAAAGAGTGAAACATGCGATGCCAAGTGATCGCTAAACTGAGACATCGAACGAGGCGGCGTTGTAACGCGAACCACGTGTTTTAAATGGACAATTTCGAAATGAAATAAAAGAGCAGAATACCATAGACGACATCAATCCTTGACAGAAACGAGACAAAGAATATACTGCAAGCTCAAGCTGTTTTTATTACAATTTTGAAAAATTCGGCACGAGTTAAATAGCAAAAATGACATTCGTAACACAATAAAATAAGATTTCTAAAACCGCACCTGGTGCGTTCAATCGACACACAATATAATCTCAACTGTGTAATCAGATCTATTTCAAGGTACTTAAGGATTCAAATAGAATTTAGAAGAAACAAAAACAAACCTATTCAATAACATAATCACAATAGCTGTGAATGACAACTTCCATTTGTCCGCCGAAACAAATATTTGCGAGTGCGCTACATGAAATAGGTTTCTCCGTTACATCAAATAAAAATTGGCTTCGTCGTATGATGGCTTCTAATTCGAGGGGCAACCTCACAAATTTAACTCAAACTTGTACTTCCGTTCTACTCCATGCACTATTAAGCGCGAAACTTTTGATATCCGCTGGTGAAGATGGAGTTGCGCGTTTGAAGATGGTGTTACGCGCTCAAAGATGGAGTTACGCGCTCAATGATGGAGTTACGCGCTCAATGATGGAGTTACGCGCTCAAAGATGGAGTTACGCGCTCAAAGATGGAGTTATGCGCTCAAAGATGGAGTTACGCGCTCAAAGATGAAAGTACGCGCTTAAAGATGGAGTCAAGCGCTTAGAGATGAAGTTACGCGCGTGATGCAAAGGTTGCTCAGTTGCGCGCGTGCTGCCCCAGGTAAGCCTTGCAGTTGGGGCAGTTGTGCTCGGTGTTCATGCAGTCATCCATGCAGAAGGGGATGAGGCAGCATCCCAGAGGACATCTGAAAGCAGTAACAGTTCAAACATTAGAAGTGGGCTCACCACAGCTACTACAGCGACGTGTGTGCGGACGCTACCTGCACAGTAAACAAGTTTAGGATGTTCTCAGGTATAAAAAATATTAACGTGACGCTAATGACATGGTCTGAAAAGAATCATAAATATCAACAGTTCAATAGGCATCAATAGAATAATTAATATCAACAGCAACGATGATATCAATTATTACTCGTATGAAGAATCTTTATCGGATTTGACCAGGAAAGCGTGAAGAGAAATCAGCTTAGCTTACCAGCCCACCTCAACAGGACACTTCGCTCACTGATTTTCATCTCGAGTTAAACGTTAAACAGGCGGTATATTGCGAATATAAAATGTTGTAAACTTGATATATCACCGTCCAGAAATAACTGAACATAGGAAATTTACAGTGAACATTTTTAGGAATTTAAATTATATATTAACATCACCAAATTGAATCAGACGACACGCAAGCACAAATCGCAAGCATCAAGGACTCCTCAGATCCAATGGACCAATAGTACTTCTGTCTAGCACATGCACGCGTCAAAAAGTTCAATTAAATAACGATGGCTTCTAACAATAATGTGTAATTACAAATAAACACATTGAAAGACAACTGTATTAAATTCTAACCTGTAACATGGATATGCAATAAAAAAAGCTTTATTAATGAATGTGAATAATGTTAATGTCACTCGATTGCTTGAACCGCAAAATCAACAGGAATTTACCGGCAAAGTATATGCCGCAGAAAAACCACCGCAACGCTTTCTATGAAAAAAATGGCAAATTTTTGTGGCGTATTCTTTGCTTTTAAAATTTAAACGTGATATGAATAATCTGTTAGCATTTGTAAGAGAATTATTGAGAGAAGGCATATGAAGTCCCTAGGTTCATCGGCAGGCAGATCCAGGCACAAAAAAGAGGTTTCAATACCACGGCAACCACCAAGCCAGTGGTCACGTCAGACGTGCAGCAAAGCAAGACGAAGTATTTACAATAGCTAATTAGAGGGAAGCAAGGCACAGTACGCTCATGAATAATAAAGTTTCATCGACCCGCGTGAATGGGTACAAGCTGTTCGAAAAAACGGTAGAAAAACGTGCAAGTCTATACTAATTTTTTAGCGCTATTAACCCGTAATCTGAACAAAACGGTTATATACCGTGATTTGTTAGATTTCAGCGGTAGATGGCGCCACGGTTACAAGTCAAGTTAATATCTAGACCCCTTCTTGAGTGGAAGAGATCGCTGAAGAGCTAAACCTAGCCAATTTATTTTTGCTGCTTTATATTAGTTTTTGTTGTTGGCTGTAATTTTTGTACAAATGTAATTTTTGTACAAATGATAAGGCATCGTGTGTTGTTCGGTTGAGTTGCCTATACTTATGTTGCGTCTTGTTCTTTGAGCGTGAATACTTTGAGTCTGAGTTGCGTCGTCCGACTACTGACATCGGTCAATTGCTGAACTCTGAAGACTGAAGCCAGAGACGCATAGCACCGAGGTCGAGGAAAAACAACCTGTTATTTATACAATTTTTAATACTTTTAGGATCTTGTTCTTCTATTTATGTGGTATCTAAATAATTTGTATTGAGGACCTTGTCGAGTGAAGTGCAGTATTGAGGGGTGCGACCCGGGGGGGGGGCTAACTTTTTGGACTAACTAACTAAAAGGACTAACTTTTTGTGAATAAATAAAGTTTTTTAAAATATGTTTACCCTGCACGGATGGACATCGTCTTAGGTATACGTCGTAAGATGAAGTTAGTTATTATATTGGTATAAATTTCAATGTGCAATACCATGAATAAATATTTAACCCAAACCCAACTTCTCCCGCTGTTTTATATGCTATTCGCTTAAGCCTGATTATATAGTACGAACCTGTTAAGGAAAAGCCTATATATATAAACACAAAAACAAGCGCAGAGTTTTTTCCCGAAAAACTCTTCAGCGTCCAATTTAACGGGAAGTAACCGGTTACTGTAACGCCAGTGGCAACGTTTTTTACGCTGGTTTTTAAAACTGTGCAGTAGGTTCATGAATTATCAACAATATATAACCAGTAAATGAGGAAAGATGTTGACTGCTATAATGAATCAAGTAGACTGGGCCCACACATAGCCTGCATTACTAGATGATCACCCGATGCTTTCACAACGGGTGGATAGCTAGAGGTCAGCATAGCCCAAGTCCACAGTGCGATTCATATACCTTCCCGAGCGTAACGCAGCCGGGCATCTTCACGGCTTTTGATACAAAGCGCCCACCACCACCACAACAGCGCCGTTCAGTCACAGGCCAAGAGCTACTCGTAACCTAACCTAACCTAACCTGCGCCTGTTGCGGTAGGGCCTGTTTGCGCTCCGGCCAGTTGTGCTCCGGCGCTGTGGACCAGTGCCTGTGTTGTGCAAAGCGGATTTACTGTTAGCCGGAATTGCACAAGGCTCATTGATCTGAGGCTATGTGTAGATATTGCATGCTGATGTTTGGCGTTGGGCCCAGGGCCTGTTTACGAGTCAATTTTGTTACCCACGGCTGCGCTCCCTAACGCGTAACCACGGCAACCATGTACAGGACAGCACGCGCGCTGCTCGCTCAATCTCATTAGAGAACGCTTAGCAATTCAAGCTTGTATTGCACGACCCTTATACGTCCGTAATTAGGCGAACGCACTCACTCTCATGGAAATAAGTGAGTCAAAGGGTGCGAGTTTTGGACAAGTCGTTGTGACTTGCGCGAGTCAATGACTTGTCGAAAAACAAACGCATAATTTTGAAATACTTTCTCGTTATTGGGTCATCCTGTCCTAGCCGTTACTCTATTTTTTGGGATTCACCGTTATGTGGACGAGTCGCCGTGACACGCTGAAGGGTCATGCTGGTTATGAAATATGTAGGCGCACTCATTGCTCCTAGTGCACCAACATGTTTCATCGGAACATGGCAGTCCCGCGCAACATGCTCATTGCCCTTGGATTTAGTCTCCATAAACACTGTAGCCTATAATTAATGATTCTATATTCCATTTACTCAAGCAGGGATGGATGTAAATAGTCATAACTGTAAGGGAAAGCGCTCGTTCTTCTGCTGTAGCGAGGATTTCACTAAAAAAAAGGAGACGATGTACTTTGTCCATGGTTGGGTCTGCCTGACACAATTTGACCCGGAAAACGGGCGTTTCAGTTATGTGTGCAGAATGTCACTTTTCGGACAATTTAACCAAGTAATTTCTCCGAGTATTCGGTTGATATTCAATCCAGCGAGTGAGCTGCAGCCATGAAGGTTCCGTCAATATCATTCATTATAAGCACATTATTGAACATCACCGAACAAATAACGTAAATCCATAGAAAACCCGATCGCAGCATGCACGGCACGCTATTTATACACTGCACTGCATTTTTACTTAAAATCTACACTGCTCAAACTTGATTCATAAAGATATCGAACCGCGACACTGCTCAAAGTTAATAATTAATAAAAACATGAAACCACAGTCAGCGATGCAACTAAATGATTAATAATGCAGAAGCGCCACTCGACAGAGTCATTATTATGTAGAAACAGGATCAATATTATATACAAATTAGATCAACATTTTTCAGATACAAACAATAGATTTTGTACACTAGTGAGAGAATAGAGGATTTCATTCGAGAAAAATTCGCTAAATTCAACACAATAAGACCTGCTGAATATCGTTGCTACATATGTAACACAGCACACAAATGTGACGTCTTCATAATAAGACTTAATGCAAGCTCTGTGTGTATTAGGTTATTGTGTGATATATTTCTAGTGTATTCGCTGCAGTACTCTGTAGTGTAGTGAAGAGAATGGCAAGAATTATAATGTGTCGAGACCAAACCCTCGAGTCCGGTAGAAGAGACCGTGTGATGTCAGTGAAGTAATAGACGAGATTCATATCAAATTTAAAACTTAGAAGCAGAGACAAAACTATGCCGGGAGAGGGAACTACCGTATGGACTAAGATTGCGAGGTTTATGTTAAGTTTAAAACTTAGAAGCGGAGACAAAACATGGCCGGGAGAGGAAGCTGTTGCTATAATTCGAGGGAGAGATGAAGGCAAGTTTGAAGAGAAAGATGGAAAGCAGAAGGTTGTTAGCGCCAAACTTGTATGCTCACAAACACCCAGGCACAAGATCTTACTCGAGAGTTCGGTGTGAGAGTTCGGTGGTGGCGGACCTGGGGCTCTCATGGCGGGGGCGACGGCCGAAATGCAACCATGGTTAGAAGAGGGCGAGTGTCAATGTTTCTTGTGGTGGAGGCGCCGATACAACTCAATCATATTCAAATTACAAACGGCGGCAAATATGGTTTCAAAAACTGTCCTTCTAAATGAGCAAGGAGAAAAATGCTGACAAATGGGAGAGACTGAGTATACTGAGGAAGAATGGGCAAAACTGAGATGTTTACTGAAGATGAATGGAGAAGAATGAGAAGTATACGTACTGAAGGAGAATGGGCAGGGCATAAAAGTATACTGAAGAAGAACACCATAAGTTCGAGAGATGGTAACGCTCTTCAAAGTGTGCCCAAATGACATGCAAAACGAACAAATGAACTCGTCGAAAATACATAGCTTACAAATCGAAAGCGTTTCACAGAATAAGCACACAAGCATTGAAGGGGACTACAATATTAACAGAAAAATGCAAGGTTTTATTGGACAAAACTTTGACCTTGAATTCCCTGAGTGTCGTCACCTACAACGAAGTTCTCAGCAACCATCCCTGCTCTTGTGGTCTTCCTAAACTCTGCGTTCAGTAATCAACATGTTTAAAGCGAGGAGGTGTAGGGACGAGTACATGAAACGTGCTCTGAAGCACGTCATTAGCAGTTCATTTGAGGCTCCAATAACAAAGAAGGCCCAGCGCCCCAGCAACTCTACCAGACAAACTAGCTCGGACCTAACGACCCAAGCTCGTCGGAGGCAGGACATTGGATTGTGACTGCTGTCTGACCGAGACCTTACTCGATCCTTCCAAGTCTAAGTAAAAATCCTGATATTTTGGCTATGATTCGAGCCATTGATGCTTCTAGTTACTGTTTATACAACGGGACCTTGCTTCGAATACAAGAGTTTAAGAACAAGAGCTGCTAGACAAGAGCTGCAGGACAAGAGCTGCAGGACAAGAGCTGCAGGACAAGAGCTGCAGGACAAGAGCTGCAGGGCAAGAGCTGCAGACAAGAGCTGCAGGACAAGAGCTGCAGGACAAGAGCTGCAGGGCAAGAGCTGTAGGACAAGAGTGGCAGGACGAGGTTTTCAAGGCTCGACGAATTTGCCGAGCGAAGTGTGGCAGTTGGGGCACTTGTGCTTGACGGTCATACAGCTGGGGATGCAGCAGGGGATGAGGCAGCAACCTATGGGGCACCTGGGGCATAGCAACCACAACCATTCAACGCTGCTCCCTTGCAGTTGATAATGAATATTTGTAGGCACTCCAGCACAACCAACCATTGCCATAGCCACTTTCATGCAGCTATACTTTCAGGAACTATTCAAACTAATTTGTGGCGTCAATACAGAGTAGTGAGAAAACTTGAGATGGTATTATAGTGTAATGACGATAGATCAACTTATTCTTATAGGTGTTATTACGTAACAATATTTATGGCCTAACGCCAGCAATCGTCATGATTAACCTCAGTCATAGTATACACTGGTCATGCTAGGGCCAAGGCATGAAAATAATCTGGGGCCGTTATGTCAAACCTTGCTCAGGTACACGTATCGGCCCAAGTATGCGTAGCAGCCAATTTCTAGCATGTGATTGGTGGGAATAGATTAAAAGGCCGTCAGTGATTGGCTGACGGAGTTACGATCACTTAACTATTTATGAAAGTATGTTGATAACTTACCCGAGGAGGCAAATGAGGAGGCTGGCGAGCCAGGCGGTGCGGGAGGGCGCAGTTTTGGTAGCAGTGTTGATCTCAGCCTGGCAGTGCGGGCAGATCATGTGCGTCGACTGACGACCCAGCGGCACAATCGTCGTCACGATCGTCGGGCGAGCTGTGGACACGGGGAGGGTTTAGCTGCACAGCCTCGTGATGGAAGTGAGTCAAATACTTGTGAGAATTACGGCTTTATAGCGAGATAAATGCACCAGAAGAGGTTTAAATGAGGAGCTCAGGCACCCGAGGCCGAAGCAAGGACAAGTTAGATGTTAATGGATGAGCACGCACTCATTTTAGATGCCTTCTAGATTACAGATCGTAAATTCACTTGCCGCCATAAACTCGATAAGAATTATCAGCCGAGGAGGATAAAATACATCGTATCCCGCAATCGCCGCATTACCAAGTTACTGGCGTCAAGGAATACCTACAGAGACTCAGGTTTATTGGCAGCAATACGGGCGCCATAACTCGACATAAGATATGAACGTGAGATAATAAAGCGATGTTCTCACGGGGGAAGAAGCGGGCTTTGATGCTGGAAGGCTTCGTCCTAGGGTAATACGACATCGCGGACGAAGGCATCATAGGGGCGATGAAGGATCCGCGCTTGAGCTCGTGTCGGAGGGACGGAGCTCGGGGGTAGCGGGCCACGTCTTCGTCGTGCAATTGCCGTGTACGCCCCTCGTCAAGGTGGTCTGACGTGTCGTGTAGAGATAATCGAGCGACGTGGCAGCAGCATGGTCCGTGTATAGAGCTGGCGATGACGAAGAGAGAATCTCCCGCAGATTCATCACTGCTTTTTCTTCTCTCTTTGTGACAGTGAGTCGAGGGCCCAAGAGAGGCATTACCTTTTGTACTGTAAAAACAGACGCACGCGCAACAAATGGCTTCATCCTTTGATAGTGAAGTTCCAGCGTCTTTTTCGTTCAGAAGCTCACTAGTCGTTCCAGGTAATAACCCAGAATTAGGAGCTGGTTCATCTACACCTTTGTTAGATCTTGCATATGAGGGCACAGAACGCGAGGTTGCAAGACACTTGTTGCGACAGTACGAACAACTTTCCTTCCTGCAACACCGGCATGGAGCGGACAACCTGGCGGCGACGTTGGTGCTGGCGTCCGACCAGAGCTGGGGCCTGGAGCTCCGAGGGGGGGCGGCGTGCCACGTCCAGAGAGGAAGCGTTCCCTCGTCGCCGTGGTGGACGTGGGCAGCATCCAATGTCGGCACGATCAGACATGACAAGCCTTCTTCGTCTTCAACGTCCTCGACGTTCGTCTGCTCACGTCGCGATGTTGTGGCGTGATGGGTGATGTTAGACGAGAATGTTTGGGTGGAGACATCGGGAGATTCTGCACCGCAGCCCAGGACGCTTGTAGAGTAATCCTGTCCATGGTATATTCTGTGCAGCAGGTCAACTTGTCCAGTTTGGTCTTGTTTGAGGACAGGGTAAGATGTGGTGGTCTCGTCTCGTGTTGCTTTAAAACAAGACAATAAATGCATACTATACGCGATACTTGGAGCAATATGCAAGGTTATCCTGTCATTTTTATTCCGGCTTGTAGGCGGAATATACTAAACTGAATCACTCTTACTATAGATGTTGATCACACAATTTATACTGGAAAGCTTTGTACTCATAGAAGCATACACTGGCAATTCAATCATGCGTCTCATATTACGCACCAAGCAGCTTTTGAATAATGTCTACTTGACTTCCCGCCACTTTCCAGACTAAACGAGTTTCTAGCCGCGAGAATCGACCAAGAAATTGACATTTTTAATTTGACTAGACCGTAAAATACCCTTCACGCCAGTATAATTTTCAAAAATTTTCATACGATAATGAAACGTCCATGGAGCTGAAAATTACAGCATAAACTACGTGTACGAAGCCAACACCATTGTGGGAAATCGTTAAATGCACGGCAGCAGGCGGCCGACCGCAGTGCGCGGACGCTAGGCCACGACTGAACGGTACGCGCGTGCCAGACTCCTGACCAGGTTTGCGGCGAAAGAAGGCCAAAAGCGTCGAATTTGGCCGCAAAAAGGCCCATCTAGCAACCCAGCTCACGAAGTAAGGAACAAACGCAAACTAATACCAGCCAACAAACACGCGAGTGCAGGTGTCTGCGCCAGCCAACAAACACGCGAGTGCAGGTGTCTGCGCCAGCCAACAAACACGCGAGTGCAGGTGTCTGCGCCAGCCAACAAACACGCGAGTGCAGGTGTCTGCGCCAGCCAACAAACACGCGAGTGCAGGTGTCTGCGCCAGCCAACAAACACGCGAGTGCAGGTGTCTGCGCCAGCCAACAAACACGCGAGTGCAGGTGTCTGCGCCAGCCAACAAACACGCGAGTGCAGGTGTCTGCGCCAGCCAACAAACACGCGAGTGCAGGTGTCTGCGCCAGCCAACAAACACGCGAGTGCAGGTGTCTGCGCCAGCCAACAAACACGCGAGTGCAGGTGTCTGCGCCAGCCAACAAACACGCGAGTGCAGGTGTCTGCGCCAGCCAACAAACACGCGAGTGCAGGTGTCTGCGCCAGCCAACAAACACGCGAGTGCAGGTGTCTGCGCCAGCCAACAAACACGCGAGTGCAGGTGTCTGCGCCAGCCAACAAACACGCGAGTGCAGGTGTCTGCGCCAGCCAACAAACACGCGAGTGCAGGTGTCTGCGCCAGCCAACAAACACGCGAGTGCAGGTGTCTGCGCCAGCCAACAAACACGCGAGTGCAGGTGTCTGCGCCAGCCAACAAACACGCGAGTGCAGGTGTCTGCGCCAGCCAACAAACACGCGAGTGCAGGTGTCTGCGCCAGCCAACAAACACGCGAGTGCAGGTGTCTGCGCCAGCCAACAAACACGCGAGTGCAGGTGTCTGCGCCAGCCAACAAACACGCGAGTGCAGGTGTCTGCGCCAGCCAACAAACACGCGAGTGCAGGTGTCTGCGCCAGCCAACAAACACGCGAGTGCAGGTGTCTGCGCCAGCNAGCCAATACCACCTACCCTCAGCCGATACCACCTACCCTCAGCCAATACCACCTACCCTCAGCCAATACCACCTACCCTCAGATGATACCACCTACCCTCAGCCAATACCACCTACCCTCAGACGATACCACCTACCCTCAGTCAGCTAACAGTTCAAAAGTAATTTGAAGAAATCTTCCAAATTATACGGTGTGCGTCAACACTATCCTACGATCAGGGGTCGGCAAAGAGCACTGTCCCGTACACGTAGCACAGTCCCGTACAACTGTAAGCCGAACTATAATCCTAAAGTGCATTCTATAATCGTTTACACTGTTCCTCTATATCATCGAAATACGTTAAAATCGAACCGACCCTCCGGTCATACCTAATTACGATTCAACATCGCATCATCAACTATCAAATACCCCTCTTACAGTACATTTAGCTAATGGAATATTCATTACGTACAAAAAATAAATAAATGGAATATTCATTACGTACAATAAATAAATATTCCTGCAACTGGAACTGGATAAAAATAAGTTCAAGGTCCCTGGTTCAGACCAAAGAGCTCAGCGATGTCAAGGGCATCAACAGCGCACTAATCCATATAATGAAACAAAGACTGCATATAAAGAAAAATTAGGTTCAGTTTAAAGGCTGTTTAGCGTAGTAATTTACGAGATGAAAGGTAATTTGGACGCGGACAGGTTAAGGCAACAAAGGATGTACCGTAGCGAGCACTCCATCAGGGCCAGCAACTGCGCTTGACTAACACAAAGAAGCCAGCGCTCGATGTTGGGGGTAATTTAGGGGACATGTTTATTGTTAGGTATATTGTTTAGGGGACATTATTGTTATGTTGTTTAGGGGACATTATTGTTATGTTGTTTAGGGGATATGTTTATTGTTATATTGTTTAGGGGACATGTTTATTGTTATGTTGTTTAGGGGACATTATTGTTATGTTGTTTAGGGGACATGTTTATTGTTATATTGTTTAGGGGACATGTTTACTGTTATGTTGTTTAGGGGACATGTTTATTGTTATGTTGTTTAGGGGACATGTTTATTGTTATGTTGTTTAGGGGNTGACAAGCCTGCCAGCCAGTGTGATGACACCTGACAAGCCTGCCAGCCAGTGTGATGACACCTGACAAGCATGCCAGCCAGTGTGATGACACCTGACAAGCCTGCCAGCCAGTGTGATGCCAGCAAGTCTGACGACTCCATAATAAATATTTATAAAAATAAAAAGCCATAGCATTTCCTATATAATTAACTATCACTTTCTATGGCAGTTCTACATCTCAATTTGATAGTAAAGAAAAATTTTTGAAACAAAACTAACAAACCAGGAAAAACTATTCGAAATGCAGTATTAATAAACAAAAATAAAGATGGCACTATGGCTGTCAGTTGCCATCCAGGAACTTAATAAGAAAAGTTTTGGCCTATTTGATTCCCAATACAAGTTTTGACCCATTAATTATATTCCCAATACAAGTTTTGACCCATTAATTATATTCCCAATACAAGTTTAAAATATAACATTGGTCCATACTAGCATGGCATGACTGGCATCATGCAGCCTCATGCACTCACCTTGATCTTTGAGGAAAGGCTGCTGGGTGTCAGGGTGTCCGTACACCCCAGGGGGAGCTGGCTGGGGGTAGTAAGGAGCTTGGGGAGGAACACCTCCCATGGCTTGGGCATAGCTGGGGGGTGCTGAGGGAGGGGGAGCAGCGCTGAACCCAATGGGGGCTTGGTTGCTTTTGGACATGATGCTTGGCTCTGTACATGGAGAATTGCTTTATTATACATCTTTTATATCTGGCAAATTCTCCATAAACTCAGATCTTAGTTTAACAATAACAAAATTTGCCTGCCAAAATTATGCTGATAAGAGAACTTGATGTTCATATTAAAACAAAGATGAACATAAAATCATTTTCATACATAAATGAATTCAAGTTTGATCTTGGGAAGAGATTTCCACAGAAGGCAACATTTGATGACATGTTCATCAGGCTTAGAAGTCTGCTGCTACAAAGTGCCTAAGATGGAGGAGCAGCCAAATTTACTTTCAATGAATCTTTATTTTGATCATGAACAACAATACGGACAGACATTCTAGTGTTCATCCCAAATCTTTAAGCATAGCTATAGATTTTGAGGAAACTTTCTAGATACACAGTCTCATATGTCTTATACTTATGGAATAAAATTGGTTTCAGGACTCAAAAATAATGGAGCCACCTTTTTTAACTTTATGCAAGGATGGCCTCTTCTGATGAGCACCTATATATACCGTCAAATGGGTTAATATGGGCGGGGTAAATCGGGACAGTTGTCCAACATTTCATTGAAATGTTATAGTAGCTAAACCAATCAAAATACTGCAAAACTAAAAATATTGGTGTAAAGTTCAACATTTTTACTATCACTGTAGCATAAAGCAAGTTAAGAAATCATTCTTTTACTACCTCTAAAAAAACCCATGAAAAAAGTGTGAAAAGGGAGATTTTGGAAATGTACCTCTGCTAAGGTCTGTAGTGAAAAAAATATTCACCAATCTAAAATTTTACTCACATCAAAGTTGCTCACAGGTGTTGGCTTGCAAATGCGATTGACAGAATTTGCATATATCTCATTAAAAAAATGGCAGCCATTTCCGCAAGACGGGGTAATAAGGGACACCCCTACTAAAAACACATTTACAGTAGAACCTCAGTTAGTAAAGGCTCCAGTTAACCAAAAAATCAATTATGTAACAACAAATTTTGATTATATTTACCTTATTCAGTGAAAAAAATTTCAATCTTAAACTTAGAAAAAAATTTTTCATTCTTTTACTTAAAATGAAAAGTAATTAACCTAAACTATGATTTATTTCTCCAAAAAATATGATGGTTGTCACTATTAATATTCCTTTCAGTTTCAGGTGTTTCTATGATATTTTTTTATAGTGAATTCACTTGACCCAATTAAAATGGTGTAAAATTACAAGCTGTCCTGTAAGCTTAGCTACAGAAGAAATGCTACATGGCTGCTGATATGAAGCTTGCAGTGAACAAGGTCATTGTAAATGCTCAACGGCATGTTCATGGATACGGTAATATCACATCAATAAAGAAAAAACAAGGAAAAATCACAGAACATGTCATTTATTCTACATCTACATCATCTACAAAGGAAAAAGAGGACTTCAGATTACTGTTAGTAATAGATGAATGCACTCTGCAAGCTTCAAAGGTTTTTAAATTAAGTTTTATTTCAAGTGTAAAATTAAGTTTTATTTCCGCGGCGCCATCTATAATGCTGCTGTCTTGGCCTATGGCATAAAGGAGCGAAATAGTGCTGACTGGTTTGGGGCCAACATCGGTGTGCTGGAACCTGCCATCAGCAGCAAAAGAAGAGCAATGCTTAAATACAAAAGTGATCCAAGCCAGCGGAACCTACAGACTCAACTGAAGGCATCCTTCTACACACCAGAAGCGATGGCAAACTCTTCAACTTGGCTCGTTTGAGAGCAAGAACAAAGGTCCGCGCTGTCCTCATCAGAGAGTTGCTCTTTGCTGATGACGCAGCGCTGTCTTCCCACACCGAGGAGGATCTACAAAGGCTGTTGGGCTGCTTTGCTCACGCCTGCAGGGAGTTTGGCCTGACAATCAACATCAGGAAAACAAATGTTATGGGTCAGGATGTTGTAATGCCCCCATCTATCACCATTGACGGTAATCAGCTTGAAATAGCCGAGCGTTTCACCTACCTGGGCTCCACTATCAGCAACAACCTGTCCCTCGATAGCGAGATCGACAAGAGGATTGCAAAAGCGTCAAGTGTGATGGCCAGACTGAATGAAAGGGTGTGGTCCAACAGGTGGTTGTTGCTTCACACTAAGCTGAAAGTGTATCATGCGTGCGTCACTAGTACCCTTCTGTACGGCAGCGAAACCTGGACCACATACGCTAAACAGGAAAACCGTCTAGAGTGCTTTCACCTTCGCTGCCTCCGCCGCATCCTTAACATCACATGGGAGGACAGGGTCACAAACACAGCTGTTTTGGAGCAAGCCGCACAATGAGCATGCATCTCCTCCTGTGCCAGCACCGTCTCCTGTGGCTCGGACACGTGCATCGCATGCAGGATGGTTGCATTCCCAAGGACTTGCTCTATGGGGAACTAGCTGCGGGTGCGCGCCCGACCGCCCATCTAGCTTTGCGCTTCAAAGACGTCTGCAAGCGCAGCCTCAGAACAGCATTTATCGACCCCCAAACCTGGGAGGGGCTTGCGGTCGACCGCTGCGGTTGGCGGCGGGCCATTCGGGAGGGAGTCCGGAGGGGTGAGGAGCTGTGCAGCCGTGAGCTTGAAGACAAGCACCGTCTCCGGAAAGCCAGACAGCAGACAAGGAACAACATCGTCGCACCATCGGGCTTTATTTGCGCCAACTGCGGTCGTGACTACCAACCCGAATCGGCCTGACAAGTCACTCGAGGCGCTGCCGACAGCGTGTTGTGCGATGACGGGCGGGGTACACACCATCATCTCTCGAGATGGACGGATGCCAACAATTTCAAGTGTCCCAGATCACCCTGTTTAGAGGGGTAATTGGGACGCTTTTCTTTTGCGTCTGGCGCCTTACAAATAGCATATGGAAATTTTTTGAAGATGCCATACAATAGCCCTTGCAAAGCACTATAAAATGAGCCCAAACTAGTTAATGAAATGTTCCATGGTAAGAAGTTATCAACAAAAAATGCTAAATAACCATCCCTTATTACCCTGTTTGACGTTGGTTACATACAGCAATAAACTAAAGAATGCCAACTTAGTCTTGTTATCTTGTTTAACATTGAAGACTTATTTGCAGGGCTACATATCATCATGTGCTTACCTTAAAATAAGCACATTACTTGTTTCCCGTTGTTTTCTAACAATTTTGCCTGATTTTCAGCTTTCACAAGCAATTAGCACAACCGCAGTTACGTATATACAAGGGCATTATTTTGCAATCAAATTGATTGAAATCAGAAATATTTGTCATATACAAATGAGGACAAAAGACTAGATTTTTAATGAGCTATGCCATTAGTTTCTTGATTTTGCAGCTAAAAAGAAAATTCAGAACTGAAAATTTGTTTATACATGATTAAGTATATTTTCTGAGATTAAATTTCAGCAGCAAACTCATTGACAATACTGAGAATATTGAACTGAATTTATTATTACCTCTGAACATATGGATGAAATCATTTTTCTGAAACTTACATAGATGTAATTTAGCATTTGATTATATTGTTGCTGTGAGGCTTCTGATCCTTTGTTGCTCATCCCTCTTATTGCACAGTAATTGTTGTTGCCTGTTTATTTTACGGGCATTCACCATTGTCCTTTTGTTTCATTTGTTTCAGCTGCACTAAGTGGTGATAAAATAAGTGAATTCCATTCCTTTAATTTAAAATTCTCCAAGTGAAATTCTCCTTAAGGATAACAAGGACACCAAGGATAACAAGGACACCAAGGATAACAAGAACACCAAGGATAACAAGGACACCAAGGATAACAAGGACACCAAGGAAGTTCACGAAACTAACAGGTATGCATCTCAGAGAAATAGAGAGCTCAGAGTCACAAGAGAAGAAATGAAAGTAGTTTTTGGTGTCCTCCTGATCAGTGGCTGTGTCTCATATCCGAGACATAGACTGTTTTGGGAAACTGGACGTGATACATGCCATGATATGGTGTCTTCTGCTATAAGAAGATAGATTTGAATCAATTTTTATAAATCTGCATTTGGTGGACAATCATATGCTGTCACAGTCTGACAAGCTAGCTAAACTCTATTCCCTCATACTGAAATTGATGAAGATTTCATGAAACATGTTCCTGTTGAAGAAGTGTACAGTTTTGACGTGTCTATGTGTGAGTACTTTGGCAAGCGCGGCAGTGAAGAATTCATCAGGGGCAAGCCCATCCGATTTGGATATAAAGTATGGAGTGGAACAACAGTGAGCGGTTATCTTGCATGGTTTGAAATATATCAAGGAAATACTGAAGGAGCTGTTAAAGTCATAGTTAATGATCTTGGAATAGGAGGCAACTTGGTGGTCAAATTTGGAAAGGCATTGCAGAAGAAGAAACTTCTTTTGTATCACCTGGTATTTGACAATTTCTTCACTAGTGACACTTATGTCAGCCTATGAAAAAGATAGGACTGAAAGGAACAGGCAGTCAGAGAATATAGAACTGACAAGTGTCCTCTCATTGATGTCTCAAAAAATGTGTCGAAGTTGATAGTTGACCTTGCTCTACCAAATGTGATCAACTGTTTGTGTAGAGAGAATATTATGGTTTGAGACTTTTAAATAAGTCTGTGTAACGCTGGCACAAACTTTATTTGGCTTAGCCAGCAGAGGGATTAGGACACATTTGGATTTTTGGCTTTAATCGCACCTCAAAACGCAGTGGATCTGAAAATAATCACGGTACAATGGAATCAGAACTATCCCAATATGGAAAGAAATGAACAATATATCAAAATATGATCACATAGACAATGTGGCAACGAGGAAGAAATTATTGAACTCATCACAAATCAACTTACATATGTGCTTGGCCCCTATTGGCTGAATCCTGAATAGAAGATTTTCCACAATTGAATTTTCAGTCCCTAATATGGTTTACGATCTAAGCGTGAAAGTTTTACTAACACATTGAATGATATCTGCGTGCTAAACAAATAATGAAATAAATGAACATAAATATACATATAATAAAGTCATGATATTGCT